TCATAGCTATAAGCATTACTTATTTATTTTACCTATAAGAAAAACATCACTGCCAACTCATGGTAAGCTAGTATAATTATAATAACTTATTTTTCAAACTTTTGGAAGCTTTTTAATTTTTTTTTCAAAATTACAAAATAAATATGTTTTCACAGTAGACAAGTTTTAAAATGCACATGTAAAAACAAAAAAGATACCACTATATATTTATTCAAAATTGGTATCATGGTGAAAGCATTATTTGTGATCTGTTTTTTAAAACTTTATAACATAGCATACACATGTCATTAATAATTCTTCAAAATATAAAAATGAATTTGGCCAGTCACATATCTTTGGATACAATGGATACACTGGTTGACTCTAGGATTTTAATATTACAAATAATAGTATAATAAATATTTTTGCATATTAATTTCCTAAGCATTTTCTTAGCATATATTTAGACTTTTCACATGCCTCCAAGTTGCCCTTCAGAGATTTAATGATATATTTGTCCCAGCAGTGTAAGAGAATAGCAGTTTTAGTATAATTTCACTAATACTGAATCTTGTCTTCAGTTTCTTTCCCAAATAGACAATACGTACCTAATTTTAATTTTTTTTTATTTTAATTAGTTGAATTTTTTCAAGTCTTGTCATTGACATTTCTTATTTTATAAATTACTAATCTTTTTTCTCCCTTGTATATTTATTTTATATAGTTATAATTTTATTAGCTTTTCATCTGTTACATACATTTACACGTTATTTTCTCAGTTTGTCATTTGTATTTATTGTTTAAAGTTTTTTAACATGCAAATATTTAAACTGTATTCAGCAATAGCCTACATTTATGTAGTTTAATAGATTTCAGATTGTACTAAATTTTTAACACATGCAATTTTATTTCATCTTTAAACCACCTCTAGAATGCATATGATAATTACCCTTATTTCAGTGGAGAAACTGAGGCATAGAGAGGTTCAGTGTCTTTCCCAAGTTGCATACCAATTATTATGTGATAGAGCCTGGTATTTAAAATTAGACAATCAGATTCTAGACCGGGCGCGATGGCTCACGCCTATAATCCCAGCACTTTGGGAGTCCGAGGCGGGTGGATCGCAAGGTCAAGAGATCGAGACCATCTGGTCAACGTGGTGAAACCCCGTCTCTACTAAAAAAAAATACAAAAATCAGCTGGGCATGGTGGCGCGTGCCTGTAGTCCCAGCTACTCGGGAGGCTGAGGCACGACAATTGCTTGAACCCAGGAGGCGGAGGTTGCGGTGAGCCGAGATTGCGCCATTGCACTCCAGCCTGGGTAATAAGAGTGAAACTCCGTCTCAAAAAAAGAAAAAAAGAAAAGAAAAAAAAAAAAGATTCTAGAGTTCATTTTATTGAATATTTTATTTTTTTCTTTTTTCTTGAGGCATTTGCCTAGAAAGTCCTGACCCACTCTAATACCAGACTTTTTTTTTTTATTTCTTACAGTCCTCTCTTTAACTCTTCACTTTCTTCTTTTCCACCCTCTTTCCTTCTTCTTTACGCTCTTTCCTTTTCTCTTCCTCCAACTTCTACATTCTCTTCATTTTATCTAAAACTGATGTTGCTATGGTATAGGCTAAGAATGAAAGGTAGTTCTTCAAACAGTGAACTATGTATGAAGTACTTATTAAACAGTCTAACACTTTGTCAACAATATGAATGCTAACTTCCTAATATGAATAATAGATATACTTGGATGTGTATTTCATTTTATTGCTCTATTATTATTGTGCTAATGCCACGTGGTTTAAATGTTTTATAATATTTTATCTGAGAGTGCAAATACTTTAGCACAATATTTTTTCAAAATTTTTATACTATTAATTATCATATAGCTGGCCATTAACCCTTTTCTTGCTTATCAGTTTTGATGAGTTAGTTGATTTTCTAGTTCTCCAAAGTAAGCAATAGTGGTGTTTTTGTGTTTTGCTTTTTGATATTATAAACTGATGAATTTTTAAATATGGCTGTGTTTTAATATCCTTATGACACTCAAATTTTCCATTTTTGGACAGTGGAGGCCCCTTCAAATTTTATCTGAATCATTTTGAATCAAACTCCAACTGTCCTTTGTAACTTTCAGACTTTCAATGATCCAGACTCATTTTCTACTTAAATCAGGAATCAGTCATATCTTCAGGGATCCCTGATTAACGTTGTGATTAAATTCATGATCTGAGCATTAGCAGTGCTCATTGCTATTGCTTTAGTCATAATTTCAAGCATTTTTTTCCTGCCAAAAAAATACAGTATGAGTTCATACTGATATTTTCATTCAAATGTGGGATTATACTTCCTGTCATATCTTATTCGATTTTAGATTTGATCTCTAACACTAAAAATCTTTGTTTGTTCACATAATTATTTTCTGTACGCACACACAACTGACAATAAGCTTGGGTGTGTTTGTTTTTTTCTTTCAATTATTGTTATCTTCTGCATTTAATCCATTAAAACATGCAATAAAATTACTACATTTTAAAGTTATTTGAAACAGTTTTCTCTTTGTATCATGTTTCCAACAACTCAATTCAAAGGTTGTTTTTCTTTTAATTATTAGCAATTCCTTTTTATGCTTGATGTAATTTCGTTTCAAAAGCGTATGCATTTACATGGTATTAAAGTCAAACCTACAAAACAAAATGTATTAGAAAAGTGTAACTTCAACCCTGTCTCTGCTATTCTCTATTTTAAAAAATCACAAAATGTTTTTTCTTCCATTTTTAAATAAAGGGTTTATATGTATATATGTCCTATTACATATATAGCTACTTTAAATGATTTACATATATATATCCTTGAATATATATGTATATATACATATGAACATATAGATATAAAATACATATTAGTCCTTTCTCAATTAAATGTTGTGCCATATTATACAAAAATGTTTCCAACAGTTTTATTGTTTGTTTTTACTTAATAATACATCCCAAAGATCATGTAAGAGCAGCAGCATACAAATATATTTTTAATTACACACTAGCATAATACTTCATTGTGTATTCATAGTTTATTTAGTTTAGTTTTTATATTTTTTATACCTTGGTGTTTTCTTTTATTGAATCATACAAATTTGTTTGTATGATTTATTAGCTAAATAAATCTTTTAGCTAATTTACCTTTTACAAAACAAAAGATTTCAAAACATTTAGCAGCTTTTCATTTATATGCTGCATTTAAAAAATCTGTAGCATATATTTACAAAACAATACTCTTAAACAGATGTGCTTTGAAAGTTACCGGGTAATGATTTGATTTATATCATAGCTTATTTAAGAGAACAATTAGTTTAAAAGGACAGGCTAGACATGTGTTTCTTTCAAAAAAGCACGATTTTTGATAACACGAATTCAAGTTCAGATCTAAAAAACAGAAAGCATCGTAAAGTGCATCATTTTATTTATCTATAATGCCGCTTCTTGAAATTATAGTGATCTACAATGTGAACAGTAAAGCAAATAATTTCAAACTACATATTTATGTATATCTAAACCCCTCTAGGATTATGAACCATTTTTAGGCGTGGATTGAAATCAGGGCACTTCCAATACACAGCTCATGTTTCTATGTGATTATTCTTAAAAGCAAACTTAGAGGCATTCTTTTTCCTCCACCTCCAACTTAAACAATTTTCAGCTACAGAGGAGGGCTGCTACCTCACGCCAGCAAAGAAAAATGTTACTGTAAATTCACTTTGACCAGCCAGTTTCTCAAGATCCTTTTTTATTCTATTTTATTTTTTTGTAAAGATGGGATGGTCACTATGTTGCCCGATCTGGACTCGAACTACTGGGCTCAAGATACTCCTAAGCTTAGAGGAGCTGGGACTACAGACACCCACCACCACACCGTGATCTCACATGTCACTCCCAGCTAATTTTTTTTTAACTTTTTGTAGAAACAGGGTCTCACTATGTTACCCAGGCTGTTCTCAAATCCCTAGCCTAAAGCTAGCCTCCTGTCTTGGTCTCCCAAGGTGCTGGGATTATATGCGTGAGCCATATAATCTCATCCAGACCCTGACCATCAAGACTTTTTTTAAACCTCACAATTCATCAGTACAGTTTTACATTCTCTTTCTTCTTTTTACAAAAGCAAAACAAAACTGTACCCTTTAAGAAAGCAGAACATAGAGGAGGGCATCCCTGCTGGCCTGTTCATCCTGCAAGTTTTCTCTCAAAAAGGCAGAGCCTGTTGCAACACCTTCTCTGGTTGGCCATGCTAGGTGAGCAGACACCTGTGTTTGACGTCACGAAGCACAAAGGTGGACCCAGAACCCACTGTTCCCAGAGCACACACAGAAGGTTAAAAGGTAACAACAAATCACAAAGTGACTTTAAGCATATTAAAGAAATCAATGATTTATTCTCACTTATAAGTGGGAACTAAATAATATGTACATATGGACATAATAGACCCTGAAGACTAGGAAAGGTGAGAGGGTCAGGGATAAGAAATTACTAGGGATAACAAATTACTTAATGGGCACAATGAATACTATTCGGTTGATGGTAACAATGGAAGTCCAGACTTAACACTATGCAATATATACATGTGGCAAAACAGCACTTGTACCCCTAAATCAATACAAATTTAAAAATTTTTTTGTGAGACATAGTCTTTGAAAAAATTATAATGATAACTGGCCACACACCATTAATTTTTTTCTTTATATACACAATCTTGACAGGGTGTGATTTAGATTCTGCCTTGGGCTAAGCTCTGAGGGCTACACTTAGCTATCTGGGAATTGTAGTGCAGGCTTACTTTTCTTTTCTGTTCTGTTCTAATTAAATTATGTTAAGTATTCAGGAGGCTGAGAACACAAGAGTCCCTCTCCCCTATGATCCTCTCTACTTAGGCTTAAAATTAAACAAGACCCTTTGCATTCAGCTGGTGCCAAAACAAAACCAAGCCCTAAACAGGTTGCCGTAAGCATGTTGGCTTTGCTTAGTGTTCAATGTTTTTAAAAAAAGCGTGAATGCTTCACAAATTTCAGTGCCATCCTAGTGCAGGAAGCATGCTGATCTTCTCTGTATTGTTCCTGTTTTACTATATAATCCACAGCAGTGAACACTCATAGTTTATTTAACTAGTCCCCTATAGATGGACACTTGGGTACATAGTCTTTTACTATGACAAACAGTGCTGTCATGAACATCTTTGGAAATATGTCTTTTTGTACTTTTACAATGTATAATTGTGGCAAATTAATAGAAGCAAAATTGCTGAGTCAACGGGTCAATATATATGCATAGATTATATGCATGTATAATTTTGCTAGCTGTTACTATATTTTTTGTATAATTTAATATATCCATTGCTAATCTACAAGAGTCTGTATATCTTTGAAGTTTCACAAATAGTGCGTTTGTCAACTTTTTGGATCTTGGCACTCTGGGAGGAATGTAATGGCATTTCAGTGTCATTTTTCAATTTCATTTTTCTTACTATAAGTGAAGCTGAACGTCTTTTCATAAGTTAAAGACCGTTTGTTTTTTTACTTTCTGTAAATCAATCTCTATATATATCTCGCCTATTTGTCTTGTTGTTTCTCATGTTTTTAGAAGTTCTTTTTAAGATTACTGACTCTTCTGGTGTGTTTTGCAAGTAAGTTACAAACTTTTTTGGTACTTGCAAAAATTATAAATATAAAATATCATATATATTTACATACTACAAATTCATAGTATATCACAGTATGATAGAACATATATATGTATTGAATAGGTTATGTCACATATAATTATATGCATTTATATATATTCATATATCTCAAGTTTTCACTTGCTGAATCTGAATTTTCCAGTCATTATTAGACAAATTATTCCCATTTCTAGATAATAAAAAAATTATTCCATATTTTATGTCAGTACATGGTAGTTTTTATTTTTCACACTTAAATCTTTGACTCATTTTGAATTCTTTTTTGGTATATGGGATGAGGAATAGACCAATTTTCATTTTTTATTCTGTTATTCATATATTCCATTACCATTCATCAAGAAGTTCCTCTTTCCCCCACTAGTATGAAATGGTATTATAAATTCAATTTTTGTATGTAAGTCAGTCTATTACTAGTTCTGTTCACAATGTTTTAATCAGAGAGATTTTAGCTATTTTTGCTTTTTGTTCTTGCAAATGTACTTTATAATTAACTTGTCTGGCTCCAGAAAAAAAATATATACATTTTTTTCCTCTTAATTTGGTCCCAAGATATCTATATAGTAACTTATAATGTATTTTAATGATGTTCAAAGTTCCTTCCAGGAATATGACATGACTTTCTATTCGTTCGACTCTGCTTCCGGAGTGTTCTATAATTTTTTAAATATAAATTTTGCCTGTTTTAAACTTTTTAAATATTATTAGGGTCTTCTCTTTTTAATATACCATTCAGATCGATTTTTGAGTTAATTGTTGTCTGTTGCAAGGCAGTAGACCAACTTCATTCTTTTCCATTTGACGTACAGTTATTTCAGTATCTTTAGTTGGAAAGACTATTCTTTACCCCACTGAATTGTCCTAGAACTCTCGACAGAAGTCAATTGGCTCTAAACATGAGTTTACTTTTAAACTCTCCATTTTATTATTTTGACCTGTGTCTATCATTGTGGCAGTACACATTTACTAAAACTGTGTAAATTTTTTAAGTCAGGAATTTGAGTCCTCTAACTCTGTTCTTCTTTTCAAAATTGTTTTGGCTATTTTGGTTTGCTTGCGTTTTCATAGCTGTTGCTTTTGTATATATAATTTCAAAACAACCAGTGTTTCAAATTCTAATGTTTGCTTTATTAGAATTTTTAATTGTTCCATTTGGTTTCATCAAAGAATTAATTATGAACTTTCCCTCCTCTCTATTTCTTGTAACTCTGCCTAATTTTTCCATCTCTCATGTCCATTGCTAAAATTTCGGATCAATGTTAAATAGTAGCTGTGATTGCGTGAATCCTTGTAGCATTCCTGACTTCCATGAGAATTATTTTAAAGGCTTACTGTTAATTTTGACATTGGTTATTAATTTTAGCAAACATAACAATTTAGCAAATTGTTTCTCATTAATTAAAACCTTGTAATCGGGAATGACTATGAGGATATGTCATATTTCTGAGTCTTAATTTCCCTATCTATGAAACTAGGGAGTTGAAGCTAGATTGCATTAGTGTCCAGTCAAAGAAATGCTGGCTTTGGGTTTCAACACAAACCAGCTTTCCTAACTGGCTCTGGGATATTGGACCTGTTAATTAATATTTCCAAGTCTGAATTCCACATTGATGAAAAATTTGGACTGGCCATGCTTACCCTGCAGTGTTTTGGGGATTAAAGCTAATATAAGAAAAGCACCTGGCACATAACAACCAAGACATAGTAGCTTTTATTCATTTAATGTCCTGTAAGGTTTTTCTAGCTTTAAAATGCTGGAGTGCTCTCTCTGCATGTCTCTTTTCACAGCCTACACTCGAATATGTAAGAAAACTAACTGCCAAATAATTATGCGCTAACTTGGAGTGGAAGTTTAAACTTCAGATTGGTAGAGCAGACTGTGCCATCCCCATCGAATCCTTGATAGTTTCATTACGGCAGGTAGATATGCCACACAGCAACAAATATAAGAAAACTCAACAATGAGACTGAGAGAAGATTTTGTGTGCTATTCACATAGCCCAACATCAAAATGAGTTGACTACTTGAGATAGATTCAAAGAGATTTTAAGAGATGGAAGGAACATCAGTGGATGATAAACTTCATCTCAGACACAAAGCATCACTGTTCATTCTGGAAACTTTATTGTGCCATGTTTATCTTTTCATTTTTTACTCCCTCCCACCTATCCATCCCTTAAGATAATTAATAATCATTTACCATGAATTTAGTGACCAGTGCACATGTCTCATGTCTTTCACTAGACTGAGACATCCATGGGTCAGGCACCATGTGATATTCAAATAGTATTGGATTCCTGGTAAGTAAAGAAGAATGAATAAATAGCTCTGTAGTTGAATGGATGAAAGAATAGATGAACCCAATAATTAATTAGTTGGCTAATCAACCACCTTCCTGCTTTTTCTATTCCATTTGCATTCACTAGGTTTAAGTGTAAAGGAAAAGATTAATGTGCAGTCATGTAAATAGGTATCTCAGGAATCACTTATGTTTCCCAGGAAGACCTTGCTCTAATATAACTGATGTCATTTCTAAGCACCCCACTTATTAATTAAATAGTTAGTTTAGCTAGGTCACTTTGATTATGCTACCTTGGAGAGGTATACAAAGACCGAATATATATATATATACACACACACACACACACATATATGTATATTACACACATATATATGTATATTTATAAATACATATTTTTTTAGTATAAATTATTTTTTTCCTGGAATTTGTAGGTTACTAATCCATCCTGAATAACTAGTTCACGGAAGGAACAGTGCAAGGGACTCTTTCAGTGTCACAGGAGAAAGAATCACCAGAGACCTACTGCTCATTTTCGCTTTTTCTTCCCCAGACAACTGAGTAGCCTCAAATCCCACCACAGTTTCTCGTAAGGCATGTTTACCAGTGCGTTTACAGAGGTTCTAATTAATTCTTTGTAATTGCATAGTGTTTTCTGCCTCCGTTTCTCACCACCGTCCCAGCCTTGGAAACAAGATGTTCCACCTCTGGAGGCTGCCCTGGTAAAAGCCTATTAATAAATAATTAAGTTTGGAGACTCCTGCAGTGGTGAGTCATGGCTGCAGATCACGTGGAAGCTGTCTCCATGACAACTTACCAACAGAACTGCACTGCTCTATTTCTCTTTTTGTATGTGTGGTTTGAGTGGAGGCAAAGATGTAGATTAAAACGAGATTTGTTTTATGGATGTTTCTTTTTAATTCTGTTTCGAAAAAAAAAAAAAAAATCTGCCACTGAATTTAGAATTTGTTTATGGCAAAGGAAATGTGACCTTCCACTGGATGCAAAACCTTCTAACACCTCCTTTCCTTATCCCAAGCTCGTCTGCTCCTTCTTCTGGATCCACTACTGGCTCCACCCCAGCCCTACCTTACTGGGTGTGCTATCCCTTGCCACAAAGTCATTACTGCGCCACCGGATCCTGACAAATGCTCCTTCACTCACTTCTCTCCCTGTATGTATTCACTTGCTCTTCAGCGTAAACTAAAATTGTATAGAACGCAGAGAATATGGATTTTGGAATAGGGTGAGTCCCCAGCCTCTTCTCCTAACTAACTGTGTGACTTAGGAAAGTTACTGGACCTCTTTCCCTCTGTTTTCCTGCCCATAAAATGAAAATAATCATTCCCTTGCAGGATTGCAGTGAAATGACAGGAGACAGCATAAAGTAAGATATAAAAACATAGTTTTTACATCAGATTGTCTAGATTTCAATCTTCTCTTTGCCTTTTACTCACTTGCTCTTTTAGGGCAAGCTACTTAATTTCTCGAAGTCTCAGTTCCTTATCTAAAAAGCTGATCAAACAATCACAGACAGATTTATTTGAAACAGCAATTTACAGGAATGTACGTGAAAGGCTTTGACAAAGTGTGACCACTTAATATATACCCATTACAGTTTATTAAAGGATGTAGCATTATAGTTGGTGTGTGACAAATAAAGCTATTTTTATAATGATGAGTTTATTGTGAGACAATAGTAACTTGATATAAGGGTCTGATAGGTGGGGGCAGCATGGGCACAAAAGAGTGTAAGACATTAAACCCTTCAGATAGAACCTTTGAATTTCTAGCCAGATCTAAGCTCAGACTCCTTTGCAGAATCACGGCCCAGGTCAATCCTATCCCAGCACTGAGGTCATTTGTTCTGGATATTCTGCATTTTCCTCCCTGCTGTGGTCTGTTCTGTGGTCCAAGAGGCTGATACTTGCACGCTGTAACTCTTAAGCTTGCTTTCAGGTGGCTTCCAGATGCATAAAACCAATAAGAGAAACCCAATGAGAAATACACATTTGTTGAATAGGAGCACAGAGGACAAGGCCTGGAACACAGGAGATTCACTGGGCTCTCTGTTGGTACTTCAAAGTTTAATAATAAATAGAAAACTACAGC